AGGGAATAAAAAAGTAAGGAATTACTGTTATAATTGTTAATACGTATTTCTTGCTTTTTTTAAACAAGGTGTTTTCACTGACTGTGGAAGACCCTCTGTTAATTTAGGATTATTGCAAAAAGCAATAGGAGACAATTTTGAAATTAGCAGTACACTGGTTAAAAACCACTTTAGAATTGTGAATTCTAGAGAAGTCATAGGCTGGGAGAGATCTTAGACTAATGTCATGCAGAGCCCTGTTAAGCAGTCTAGAATGTTTCATGGTGAAAACCTTTTTCTTATATCCTGACAGAATTGCCTTGGAAAGAATTGTTCCTGTTGCATCTTGTCTTTGTGAGGAGAGCACCCCAGTTCCTCTAAAACTGCCTTTTCGTTATGGGACATTCAGATCACATCTCTCCAGAGTCTTCTTTAGGCTGGATAAACCAAATTCCTTCAACCTTGCTTCAGCTGTCTAATTATCTCGGTAACTCTCTGCTGGACGCTGTTCTTTCAGTGACTGGTTTGAGCTGGAGGGAGCAGAGCTCTCCCCAGTTCTCCAGGTGTAGACTGACAAGGGCCCAGCAGGGTGCAGGGATCCCATCCCTCCCTGTGCTGGAGCCCAGGACACAGTTGGCCTCCTTTACTGCAGGGATGCACTTCTGATTCATGTTGAAATCCAGTTCATTTACTGTTTAACCACTATTGTATTTCAGCCTGAGCTGATTGATCGTGTGTTCCTGTTACATTTCAGCCTCGTTTCAGGAAGAATCTTATTCTTTGTTTCTATGGGCACAAAGGGATACTCATTTTGTGGTGACTGCTCCTACTCTGCAGTTTCCAGTTTAATAGGGGCTTGAGTCATGCTTGAAATGTCTCTTGGTTGTGGATCTAGCAGGATGTTCTGTTATTTTCCTCCTTATATTCTTGTGCTCTGTCTCTAGAAAGGTCTTACAGATTTTTAACTCTGTTCTTCATTGCTGGTTGGAAAATGTCTCGCACAGATCTTTTTATGACAATTGCCTGTTGCATTAGTTTAGTTAGAATTGCCTTTTTAAAAAGCATCTATCCCAAATACTAGAGGTGACTTCACTCTCAGTCTAAGCATTAAACATTAATTGGCAAGAGTTGATAAATCTCCTTCTAGTTCACCTATCTCTAGAAAAACTTATTCTTCATTCGACAATTTATCTGAAAGTATGTCCTTCAATTGCTTTAATACTTTGTGGTCTGAAATGGCCTGAAGAATAATTCTGGATTAGATTCCAGCAGAATTCCCTTAATAGAGCCAATTACTTAATAAAAGCAGTAACAAAGAAATTATGTCAGAGATTTTAGGCTGATGTTCTGTTTACCGTCAATTCTTTGAGAAATGGGAGCTTAATGCAAGATTGATTTCATTATACTGACCGAGCTTTTTCAAAAAACCACAAGTAGTTAAAAGCCTTTAGGAAATAAAATTTGCTGCATTTAAATGTGCCAGTTATGTGCTCAAAGCCCTCAAAGAAAAATTAAATTTTCAGCGTAAATGACGATCTGTCCCGTTTCTAGATTTGTTTTTTACTGTCTGACCAATATTATACTTCTTTTAGTCTGAGAGGTAATAATAATTCATAATGCTCAGAGCAATTGGAAACAGAAACCAGTCCCTTTTAATTGTTTCCTTCCGTTCTATTTAATTCAGCTTCTCTGGATACATTAAAATTCTTGGATGATGGGTTTGTTTTCTGCTTGTTGTCTTAATAATAAAAGCTGGACCCTACAAGATGATTTAGAAAAATGGAGTATCCTGCGGGTTTTTTTTCTGAGAACCAACCAAACTTGTAGATGCACTTTTTTAATGGCCCTTTTTTCCAGTGTTTATATTCAAAATTCAACATTCTATGGATAATTACTATCATTTAAAGTGAAATTTTTAGTTTATACAACGGTAATGTTTAAGGGAAGGTGACTTTCTCTTGTTGTAGTTTCAATTTCCATTTTCAGCACAACTTTATCACGGTTTTCTTTCTCCTCTGTTGATGTGAAGGAATATACTTACAAAACTATGAAAAATGCCTCTAGATTTTGGAGGTGATGCTCCTCCTGGTCTTTAAATCATGTGAAGGCTTTTGTTTTCAGGCCCAGTTGTTTTCTATAGGTCTGTTTTCTAGGGCATCCAGACTAATTTGATACTTTGCAATTTCTTTTTTCATATATCCTGAGCACAAGCCTTCCTTCTTCATCCACGGGGTCAAGCCTCAGGTGTAGGTCCTTGTGATCTCATACACATCACTGCAGCCTCCTATTTTCTCATTCTGATGAGTGAATTCTTGCCTGTTGATGACCATCCTGACTGTTGCAAAGACTCCTCTTTCAGCTTATTGCTGTAACATTCTTACTTTTCCTCTCCTTTCTCTGTCCTTTCCATTATGAGCTGCTGTTCTCACTTTGAAGGCTCTGTACACTCCCATCCCTCTTTCAGTATCAAGATCTCAGCTGTGCTTTGGGGATGTTTAGGTTCAAAACTCTTCAATTTTCAAATAAATATTGCTGGGCTTCCTCTGAAGTTTGTGGAGCAACCTGGGAGAGAAAAAAGACATTGTGTCAGCTCTATGAGGCAATGCACTATCAAACTTCATTTGATTTGACTTTAATGGACTCCTGGTCAATGGTAAGGAGAATCTATTCTGCAACAATACCAGTTCAAAAGGTACTTGTTGAAACCATATTCAGTATTAAGTCACTGGATTGGAAACCAATATGTTTAAAACTGTTAGTCAGATTTAGCAATGCTTCAGCATTTGTCCTTACTTTATTAAGGAATATCATATCTATCCTTGTAGTACTGAGACTTAAAAACTTACCAGTATTCTTCAGTAGCTTTAATACATTTTTTTTCAGTAGTTTGTCTGGATGCATGCAGGAATGTGCAAGCAGATCTGTGTGGAGCTTGACTGTGAGAGTGTCAGTGTAGATCTTTCTTCTCCCCCTCCCAGATCATTTGGCCGTCCCAGGGAAGGAGAGAGAATATTTCAGCCAAAGGGTGGAAACCAGGATTGAGTTTTTTTTCCCTCAAGGGATTCTATAGCAAAGCAAACAAAATCATTCACACTTGATTTTATAGCCAGCTTGGCTGTAACATAGCCACATGACTGTGACAAGAAAAAGCCTCTCTCCCTACCTTTATCCATATTACTGGCACAGGTGTGAGCCAAGGCCTTAGTGGTTACAGGGTAGGGGGAAGAAACTTTTTAGAAAGTCACTCTTGTAAGCAGACACAAATAGGAATTCATTGGCTTTAACAGTCTGATATTTTTCCTTTTTTTTCCCCTTAAATCTCGTCCTGTATGTTCCATATGTTTCCCTAATTTAAGTATCATTGAGAAAGTTTTAACCAAGCATTAATTTAAATCCAATTTCCTGTCTCTCTCTCTCTCTCTCTCTCTTGGAGAAAGGAGAGAGAGCTTTTTTTTTTCCTTCTTTTTTTTTTTCTTTCTTTTGCTTTTAAATTTTCCCACCCCCGTGGCTGGAGGAAGCTTTGTGAAGAGCATGTTCCCACAGACTGGGGGTCTCCAACAATGCCGTTTCCGTCGGCAGGGAGGGAGCAGCAGGGCCGGAGAGGCTCCGACCACTGCCCTGGGCACTGTGAGCCCCAGCACGTACTCTGACATCACCACAGCCTGGACCTGCACTGGGGGGACTCTGTGTGAGAAGTGCTAAAGCCGAGCAGGAAACTGAGATTTCCCTCACATTCTGTTCTAGTTTTGTTTTTTTTTTTGTTCCTCTGTTGGAGGAATTGTGGTTGTTTTCCATTTGAAGTCTAAATCGTTGGTTTGACAAGTTATACGAGTGCTTTTGTTCTCAGCCTGTCTGGCACAGGAACACTGGTCCTGGGGGGAGTTTTCTGCATTAGGAATGGCAAGTTTTAGTGTCTTGTCAAAGATGAGTGATGACTTCAGTTGCTGTCAGGTGAAAGGTTGGCTCGTGTGATTGTGCCATTGCAGTTCTGTGACTGGAGGTTTTAGTTCCTGCTACGTTAAAACTTTGAAAACTAAGTCATGGAGCTGGGTAGCTTCTGCTGGAGCCCAGTTAAGTGAGTTAGATATTAAAGCATATTTATATTTCTCCATAAGGGCCTGAAAGATACATGAGTTGTTGTTACTGGTTGTTCCTAATTAAAGTTTAAACTGACTGCTCTCCACTTAGCCTCTCTAACGTTGTTTGACTGCCAACAGCCAAATATACAGTAATTTAAAAGGTCACTGAGGCATCTTGTTCATAACTCTTTTGGACTGGGCTGACTCTCTAATAATTCATACAGTCTCAGGAGATGCATTTACCAGTGCCACTGAGTTTCCTACGGGAACTAGAAGATCAAGAGTGCAAAACAGCAGTTCTCAATTTCAGTTTCAACCCCAAAGATTCCCTGTTACTGTCAGTGATAAACCTGTTGGAATGTCTTCATTTCCAAATGGAAGTTAACTTTTGTTTGTGATCTTGTTCACATCAGTTTCTGTAGAGAAATGGTTTGTTTAGAAAATACTTGTCCTCATCAGTCAGGGGTTTTGCAGTTTTGTTTGGATATGAATGCAGTAGAAGCAGAAAAGTAAAATGAACATTAACAGAGATACGAGCACGTTGTCTGATCAGGGGTTTGGGGTGTATGTATTTAACTCATTTGCTTTTCTATCTTGGGGTGTACAGTTGCACCAAATCTCTTCTCTTACCCTCTCTAGCACAACATTTTACACCTTTTAACACACACTGACACACACATTTTTCAATTTTTTTTTTTGAAAGAGAGCTTAATATTACCTGATATTAATATATAAAATAACTGACTTTGTTATCAATACATTTTTTGTTGTTCTCTGTAGTAGTGCCTTTTGCTTTCTTACCACAGAACTTTGGTACTGGGCTGTTCACATTCTGTGCCAGTTTCTTCAAGGGTATTAAAAAAAAAATATTGATGGAGTGGTAGAATCTCATATCTTGTTAGGTTATGATTTTAATATTGCTTATATTTTTTTTCCTTCAAGAATATTGACATAACAAACTTCAGCAGCAGCTGGAATGATGGCTTGGCTTTCTGTGCAGTGCTTCACACTTACCTCCCAGCCCATATTCCCTATCAAGAACTAAACAGCCAGGACAAGGTAAGACATTAAAAATCTCATTCCTGGGACTGAGCAAAAAGTCAGTGTTACTAGGATTTCCAAAACCACTTCAAACTACTGAGATGCTATCCTTTTTAAAGAATAAATTATCTATTCTTTGCTACTTTATAACTCAGTCATTCTTCACTGACAACAATTTTTCAACATTATCTTCTACACAAGAAAAAAAATAAAAATTTTCCATAAATTTTTTGATAATATTAGAGCATGTTCATTGCCATGGCTCTTTTTAAATTACTATAATAAAGTTGCAGACTCCATTTAAAGTAAAAGCAACAGCATTACTATGAATATTCTTAACACCACTTTGTTATGTTTGAAATAGTATTTCCTTGTTTTCTAACATGTTGTTGTATCTCATGCAGAGAAGAAACTTCACTTTGGCTTTTCAGGCAGCTGAAAGTGTTGGCATCAAATCTACTCTGGTAAGATTTAAATGCATATTGAATTAATTATGATCCATTTATAAAAATCAAACTTATTCTGTTTTGAAAGACTTGGGTGCTTTATACTTAAAAATAGCAACAGATGAGCTCAGTAGAGGTTACTGCCCCTGTATCATACTCGACTGAACAACACAAAAGATAATCCCTACCTCAGTGGCTTTGTTTAATAAAGCCACTGTCATCAGTATCTTGAGCTGACATGGTTTTTTGCATTAAACAATGACTGAGATACAGACTTGTGGACCAGCAGGTGCAGTAAAGGCAGCAGCAATAGCCAGAGCAGATAAACTAAGAAATATTAATAAAGACAGTGGATTTGTTTGAGAATAATTTGAGAAACAGGTATGTGATACAGTTTTCAAGAATCCATGAATTCTGTCCTGCCTTTGACCTACTTTCAAATTATTTGGGATTTTTGGAACTCTGGAGCTACAAATCAAGCAATGTAATTTATTCTTTTGCTCAGTGCAGTATGAGAGTCAAGATTTGTCTCCTAAACTAAGACTTCTAATTCGTCATCATTGCAAACAATTGCAAGGTTTTTTTCAATTATTGCTTATAATGAGCTGTCTTATACAAATTTTAGAGTAGAACAGTTAGTTTTCAATAGTACAATATTTAATAGAAAAGGAAGATTTCTGAAGGTGTGGAGTCAGCAGCATTTTGTGACCCTTGTGAATGGTCACAAAAACTCAGCTCACATTTAAGTATCACAAATTATACTTAAATGATACTTTTGCAGCCTAAATTCTAACAAAGCTGCTGTAGTTTGCAACTAATAATACAACAGACCTTTTTAAAAATAACACTTTCCTTGATCCTTATCAGTGCCTTTACCCCCCCAGCATTGTGTTTGCTGACAATGGCAGTGCAGCTCTGGGGCTTTCGTACTTTGACTTTGGCAGTGATTTGAAATGTGGAAGTTTCTTACCAAGTGCTGATGTAAGAATGAGATCGTGGAAAATAACTGCAGTAATGCTCACATAATTCAACCTTAGTCTAAATGGTTACTGTCTGTCCTTTCATTTTTGTAATGTACTTAATCACAGAGACTCTAAAAAGGCAAATTGAATGGAATTAAATCTTCTAAGTGCAAATTGGATCCATCTTAAGAATTTGTATCTATTTACATACCTACATACACACTGTCTATGATACATATGTTTGTGGATTTTTTCCCTCATCCATATTACATGGGTGCAGGGAGGAGAAGGGTGGGAAAACTCCTGTATGTAAATAGTAGTGGAATGCAAGGGGAAATTATTCTTTCTCTGTAGAAGAAGGTGTTCAGCTACTTTAATGTGAAAATTCAAAAAACTTCAACTTTCTATGTTTTGAATTCTGGAGGTTCCCTCACCCAAAGCTTACAAATAGACCCTTACAGTGAGCAAAAATTGTTAGAAACTACATCTATCTCTTTTCCTTTCTGCATGTGCTGAAGAGGGTAGATCAGGCTTTGTTTACCCTGCTTATTCCCTGTCAGTCTGGGACACTGTCACTATGACACACAGGGTAACTGCCCTGTCAGCTTGTCTCTTGCTAATACCCAAATGAGGAGTAAACTTCCCTCTTCTTTGACTCTTTATTTGAAAATGCATATACAGTAATCTGAAGTACAGTAGTCTACTGTAAAATGGATTCAGTTATTTATTGATAGGAATTTTGAATTTTAGCTCTATTTAATATCTGAGCCTTGATTCCAGGCTCACAGTTCCTGGGTAGGTTGTGTTGATTTGCAAGGCTGGTGTAGGGGTATGTAAACACTCAAGTCTGACCATTACACCAACTGTACCAAGTGGGGGAAAGCTCAAGCATGCACAGTGTTGGTTATTTTGTTGGCTTAAGATCAAAATGCCTATCTGCAGATATGCTATTAATTACATTTCGTAAGTAACGCAAAGATAGATGGAACGAAGCAGAGCTTTCTTCATCAGTGCTTTACGTGGTGGAAACTTGACAGATTACCCATCCCCAGGAACGTGTGAAAACACAACCCCACTGCTCTGGAGGTTATCACTGCTGATTCTGACCAGTCTGTTTTCTGTGACAGGACATCAATGAAATGGTGCGCACGGAGCGGCCGGACTGGCAGAATGTCATGCTGTATGTTACAGCCATTTACAAGTACTTTGAAACCTGAGCCCCCGAGCATTCCACGGCATAGAACCAACGGGAGCTACCAGATGGAAACCTTCCTGAAATGCTAATCCCCATTTCACTGAAAACTGGCAACATTTGAGTCCCCTCAAACTTCAGTGGCGCTATCCTGGATTGCCTCAGATTGCTGCAGCTACTAAGCCTGGAAACAACTGTTTGAAGCGAGAACTTGTTGCCACAGTGCTTGGAATAACCCAAGTTATTAAGCTATTCAGATTAATTATGTAGCCTAAAGAGCCTGGACTACTTATGTGCTGCCTTTCCAGTCAGACTTCCTGAAGCTTTCTTTCCTGGGAGAGTGAGATAAATGCACACAGGAGACTGAATGTACAGATAAAGCTTTGAGGAGGAAAAGGATAACATGGCATCATATTACTGAATTTTCTGTAGCATCCTGACACCACAGAGTCTGAATATTCTACCCACAGCATATGGCAGCCCAATGCAGTAGAGTTCTTAATGGTAACTTAGTTACTGCCTATACAGCTATTTTCCATCCTTTAAAATGTGCACAATATTCTAGGAAAACAAGCTTTTGTTCCATAATGACAAATTGAGGGGAAAAGTGCTCTTGATACCTCGAAAAATTTGGCACAGAAGAAGTCTTCATTCTAAAGCTTCATTATAGGCCTACCTCTGTCACAGTGATGTGGCTTTCATCTTTATCTTATGGATTGTAAGCACTAGCACACGCAGCTCCTGGCTTTCAGGGTACACTCTACTTCAAGGAATCTGTGCAAACTCCCTGTGCTTCCATTATGACAGAAATGAATCAATAATTAACCCTCGTATGGCTTGTTCTTCCCTCTCCTCCTTTGCCTGTACAGCACACTCAGCTACCCTGGGCTTTATTCTACAGCAATACGAGCACACATCACGGATATCTGTGGGACAAGTTTGGAACTGGGATAGCATTTTCTCTGCAGAGAAGATATTTTCAATAAGATGTAACAGTGAAGTAGTTGGTCTCCAAATCCAGCTTTGCCATGTTTCCTGTCTGTTTTTCATTGATCTTGCATATCCTCATCTGACTGACAGAAGGTGAGATGTTCTGTGACCAGAACTATGGAGGAACTGATGTAATGTGTGTACACCCAGTAGTCTCAAATATTGTGTGGAAATGACTCACTGTCACAAGGAAGGAATTGAGAAACTTTAGTCTGCTCAACTTCTTTTTTTTGGTGGTTTTTTTTTTTTCCCCTAAAATGTACCTGAATTCATTTAGCAGCTCTTGGGCAAAAGAGTTTTAAGTGCCTTAGAGATCATTGAATTGATACGTCCTGGCACTTCAGGGCCTTGTGTGGAATGTTAATGGCTCAGAATTCATGTATCCATTTGTCACAAGCTGTTTGTTGTCATCTTGTTTGTCGAAGCAAGGGAAGACTTCACTCTGTCATTGCTTCTGCCTCTTACTTTTCTGAACACCCATCAGCAGTTAAGCCACATCTCTCATTAATATTAAGCAGAAGCCAAGTTGAGCAGTGAGCTCTGTAACAGCTGCAGTTTATAAGCACAGGCTCTTCCAACACAGTAACCCTGTTGTAAGGAAAAGGAATCTGCCCTTCCTATGGTGCTCTTACGACTGTTAAGGACAGTTTGAATGTCATAGATGTTAACCCAGTGAATGCAACTGTGCTTGGCATCTGTGAAACTTCTTCATGGTATAAAAGCACAGATTTAACTCAAAAGTATTGCCAAATCCAAAAACTATCATCTGAAGAACACAGCCCACGTGAAGAGTAATAATTCAGCATGTCTAGCATTGTATAAGAATATACACTTACACTGATATGTGCCTGTGAGAATTATGAAACTTTGTAAAACAACTACTTAACACACACTGAGGGACTTTGGAGAAGTTTTCAGAGCAGCAGTGGCTCCTACATTCTTACAGCTCTTTAGCACTAGAAGTAGCCTAGATACCCTCAGATTATTAACTGGTGCATTTGAAGAGCCAACACTAACTAAAGACTCTCGTTGCAAGAGAGATTTCAAGTCAAAAATCTTCATTAACAGATTTTAATAAAAGTCTGAAATGCAGTTTCCTCTTCTGTATATGTCTTCACAAAATTTGTTTGCTTCATTTCTTAAGTTTCAGTAAGAATAGTTTTATTGGAAATCCACATTACCACTACTACTACTACTACTAAATTTCAGATTTTGCCACTTAGTGTTTAAAATTCCCTTCTATTTATCCTCTGAACAGATATCCTTATCTATGATTGTCTTATTCATTGCCTTAGATGTAAAAAATATTTTTCTATTGAAAAGGGATAGCATTTCTTGGTCTAAATTCACTCTTGACCTGTTTTGGTGAGGTAATTTGAGCTTTGAGCTGATTTGCTTTCTGTCCAGTGGTCAACTTCATTTACCTGGAAAATGTTTGAGTCCTTTACTGCAATAACACTAATAGTAATAAAAGGAGAAATCATGTTTGCCAGATGCTTTCTGTTAAAAAGAGCTGCTCTTTCTTGAGAAAGAGAGAGAAAAGCTAGCAGTGATGATAAAAATGACCTTGTTTGGAACTTCAGAGCTCTGTAAACTTCTTGGTGTGATCTGTCTGATAAACCTCTGTGAATTCAGCCCAGGAACACTGGGCTTCATGAAGAGTTTTTTGTATAATGATGTATCTGAGCCTTTACATTTGAGGTGCTGCACAGCTGGGTGGAAGTAATGAAGCAATGGAAGATCTAAAACAAACACAATGCCCTGCTGCACTCTGCAGCAGTTTTTTTCTGAAGGTTCAAAACACATTCAGTTTTTCAAGAGGAAAAATAGCTGTATCCCTTCTGGATATCTGGAAGATACTGTTGTGTTTGGTTCCTACTCATAGTTAATCCTGAAACAGCCTGGTTTTTTCACTATCATGTAAAGTGCAAGTTTATGCTGATTTACTTTCCTTTTAATCCAGAAAATATTTCTGAATGTACTGAAAAAGGGCAAATATTTTCTCATCCATTTATATTATTGCATTTTACTATGTGCCTTGCAAATGCCTGTGCTGTAGGATATCAGGGTTACTCGTTGCCAGCTGTAGGGCTGGGGTGGGCAACAAAAGGAGCTGTTGGACGTCCTGATGCAGGTACAGCTGGATCATCCTCTGGATCTGTAGATGTTACACTTGATTTGGTTTTCAGTTGGTTGTGTTCGATTTGGTTGTCTTCTTAAATACAAACACTAATTTGGTATCTTTGGTGTGAATCTCTGGCCCTCACAAAAGCCTTCTCATTTCCATGCCTCTGAAAAACTGTGAGTGAAATTTTCCCTTTTAAAACTGTGTTTGTGGATAGGGTATCCAGAATGTAGTATATAATTGCATCAGATTCTGATTTATGGGTAGATTTTTATGTCTTTTGCATAAAATATATTCTTTGAGTTACGTGTAGCATTTCTGATAATTTTGTTGTCTCCAATTTTATAAAATATTTCCACTCTGTGTTTTCCTGTAAAGTCCATTGTCATGGTTTAGGAGGCCCTTAATTTGCCAGAGCTAAATGAACTTGGCTTTAATTTATTGGTGTAAACTCACATTAATATCCCTGGCAGCAGCTGTGCTCTGGTTTTACATGCATAAGGAGAAATAAATTGGGCCCTTGCTATAATGGTGCAGTACAGTGGTTTAAACTGCTGAGGATCTGCCTGATAAATTGTGTAGCTGTGGCAGAAAAAATTCTCATTGGAGACTCATTTCTGTGACTGATCTCAGTGTTAAGTTCTTACCTGTTTTTTTCAGTTCTGTGATTCAACACTTCGGGCATTTGGATTCTTTTGCATCACCAAAAAATTACTTTCACTCAGTTTTCTCTGTTTCTGTACCAAATTGGCCCAGGGCACAATTTTATTACACCTGAATTTTAACTAAATTGTTGGGGAAGTTGGAGATTTGGAGAACTTCTGGGTGTTTTTCTTATTTTCTGTGTTCTTGTGCCTGGTGTGGGAAGGCTGTCTGGTGTTCAGGTGGTGTGTGACAGCATCTCCCAAAGCTGCCCCCTGGGATGGCTGGTGTGAAGCTATGCATTGGCTAAAGTTAAGCCTTTAAAACTGTGTTCATGTGATTTGTGGGGACTTTACTTCTCATTTGCCTCTTGTAACTAACACAGCCACAGCTGAACTGCAGCTGCATCAGGCAGGAGCTGTTAAGGGGCTGAATTCTGCTGGGAAGGAATGCAGTTGTACACCTTTATGCTATTTTTTGCCTATTGTGAGTAATGGTCTTGCTGAGGTAACCTAGAAAGAGGATTTTAAGATAAGTAATGTTCATGTACAGACTGAATTAACTGTATAGTTTGTTTGTGGTCCTTCCCTTGACTTAGTCAATATTTATTTCTGTTTTATTTTTACGTTCTGCCAAGCTCTGTTTCTGCAGTTCCTTTCTTTAAGCTACATTAGTGTATGAGTGTGCTCAGTAATATTAGCCAGTTTGAGAAATTATTTGGTGAGAAGTGCTGTTAAAGTGTCTTCCTCATCTGTGAGTTCTAGACATGCTTTCCTGAGTTAGTGTGTGTTGAGTGGCAAAACATAGACATCTCAATACATTTAGTTGTCCCTGTTTAGAAAAGTATCTTTAATAGTGTTTCTGCTTTCACAGGAGAGTGGCTGGATGGGTTTTTAATTAGAGTGTTGCTTGCTGGGCATTCCCAGTCCTTCCCTCATCTAAGTTTCTTTTGTTGTATTCCCTGATTTCAGAATCAGTGTTGTAGTACACCTTATAATTATCAAAGCCGAGATGTTAAGCATCTGGAATATGTAGCAAGTATGCTTTTGATAATTACTGCTAAATAACTGAAAAGATTGAGGTTTGTACAGTTCTGATTTCTGTTAATTGATACGAATGTCTTTCTTTCCTGATGTTTTTGCTACACTTGCCAGTTGTTGGGGTGCAACACCCTCCAACTCAGTTTGACAAAGCCACTGTCCCCCCCTCCTCGAGTTAATTCATTCTGTGATATTAGAATTATTTCCTCCCACTGAAACTTCAGTAAAACCTATGATTACCAGATGACTTTCTTCCAACTGACATTAGCTTTTAGTTGGAATATTCCTTACCCTTAGGCCACTGTCTGCCACAGAGTTGCACATAAAGTTCCCATCAGTTCCAGCAGGACTTGGGGATGCAGAACAGTAGGGCAAACTTTTGGCAGAGTATTACAGCAGCCTCATGCAATTAAGCTGGTTTCATTTTAATCCCCTATTTTCAGGGGGTTTCAGTTTAGGCAAAATCATTTACTGAAGGCTGAAATGTGGCACGTTAGTTCTCCACTGGGAAGTATGCTTCTGTTTAATAATATTTTTATGAGATTGTATTTATGGAAATGGAAAGGAAAATGTCATGAAGCTAGTTTTGTTGCACTTTTCTAAGGCTTTTGTATTTTGCATAGTTCTAGAATATGAGCAAGTTGTTTGGGGAAGCCAAGGCTTAAAACTGGCTCTGCCCCAGCATAGCAGTGTATTCTGTGCATTTTCACCCTCGTGATCTATGTATTATTTTAATTGCATGTAACTGGTGTATTTATATGGTAGTGAGGGAGCCCAGTGGACATTTCCTGCTGCAGAGGAGCCATTGGCAGTCCTGGTTCCACGGATCACAAACTGACCTGTTCTCACTGTAGACTGCACTTGCAGTAATGGAATGGTCCAGCTTTGATTCTGAACTCTGTTTCAACAAACAGGGAGGAAGAGGCTCTTCTTTTTTTTTTTTTTGTTCCATTGTTGAAATTTCTCTGGAGGCTTTCCAGTTTTTGCATATGTTCAGTTAGGATGGTTACTTGGGACTCAGTTCAGCTAAGAGGGCACAAGTACATGTAACATACTCAAGTGATTAATCCTTGTAACTTACAACATTTCAGTTTGTTAGAAACTTTTGGTTTTATGTGTATTGTAAGGTTAATTTTTATGTCTTTAAGTAGCACTTTTATATATATCTGAAGGGTTTTTTTGAACAGAAGTGTTTTTTCTGTGTTATCTAATGGGAAGAAAGAATAACACTACTAAACAAGGCATAGACTAGTTTGCCTCCAGACTGTAAGTTCACTTTAGGTCAGTAGTGATCAAGAGTTGTTCAATGTGTCTGAAATAAGGTGGTGATCCCATTTAATATTGGGCAACTCTCCCGATCAGAATCAGAAGGGCATTAATTGGTACCTCCACCCCTCGGGTGAGGGTGCTTCCAGTTCAGGTGTGAGGCAGAACTGACAGAGCAGTGTGATGAACTTCGGATTTTGTGGAAGAATAGGATTGTATTGATGTCTCAGTCTGACTTCACAGCACTATATTGGATAAGGACTAACCTTGTTTGAGATGACACTGCAGCCAGTAATAATATCTCCTAAATAGCTAATTTAAAGCTCATTTTCCATGGCCTTTAAAGATGATGTAAAAAACAGTGATTCTTAAAAGCTCTTCTCATCCATCCAGCTTTTCTGATTTGTTTTCGTTTTACTCTTCCTTGAAACACAACTGTTTTATGTCAGTCTTTGTGTGGGTTTAGTAATTCTTGTTCTAGACAACAAGTACTTTGCTTTTTTCCCAGAACCCTTTTGAATAGTTTACACACACACATTGACATGTATGGACATTTTTCATAGAGAGGGTTTGCATAAATGTGTAATTGTACATATATATACACACACGTATAAACGTGTGTGTACATAAATGTACTTCAGGTTCTGAATAAAATGGAACATGTTTCAAGAAGTGCTTGTCTTGGATACTTAGGGTGGTGTATTAGTGTATTTATTTAAATGATAAAGAGGAAAAACCATTTTGTTTGCTTCTGGTTAGAGCTGAGAAATACAGGTTTGAGGAGAACTTGGACAAATGTTCCAATTGTATTTCACCCTGGTTTCATTTCTGGTTTGAAAGGCACAAGCTGTTAATCATTGGAACTTAAGAAGTCAGCAAGCCTGTGTTAAGCTAAACCTTTTGGAGGACCCAATATGCTTTTAGTTTGCAAGGACCACTAAAGATCTGGGCATTTACTTTCTCCATAATATATTCTGTATGAGTATTTAGTATGTATGCCTTCGATTTGCCAATGTTGCCATGTTTTCTTCTTAATTATTCCTGAAATAAAGGTTGCAAATAGCAGAACGTGTGTTTGTTTTCTTGAGCGAAGCCGCTACAGAAGGGACTATTTGAACACTATTTCTGGCACTCTGGTTTTTCAGGAGTGTTACAGGAGGTAGCTGGGGAGATCCATCTGCTGTGGATGAGGAGTGTGTGTGAATGGCTTGTGTGCACATAACCTCAGGATTTTTTTGGAAGCCATATCTCTTGCTATACCCAGCACACTTCACAGTATCTACCCCCAGAGGGGTTCAAGTGATAAGACGGTGAGTACTCGAGATAAGAGGCATCTGCTTAGCCTGTATTGTCCTGGAGAAGGGAACTGCAGAGAATATGTTCCATTTAGGCAACTTCCTTCATACATTGCAGGAGTAGAATTATTCCAGTGTTGCTTAACTCAACCCAAGTAAGGTAATTGTGTGCTCACTCCCTCTCTGTCTCTAAAGGAGCTGGGCTGGAGAGAGACTGGGGACTTAATCTCTAGAGCAGTTCAGGCTATTTAAAGCAGATGCCTAAAAATAAAATTTCCAAGTGAAAATAAAGATCAGAACACCTTAAATCTGGTTTGATCTCAGTCATCCTGGATGGTAACTGTTTTTGAGTGTTCCTTTAGAGGTTTAATTTCAAGTGCTCTGGAATAAATTATGTCCAGAGGTTTGGACTGAGCCTCTAATTATTTTTCTGAAATACACTAGTATAGATATTTTAATTCTGCCTATTTCTTACTCTTTTTTTTTTTAGGTTTTGTGTGGTGTTTTCTGACTGTTCAGCAGTCCAGAAAAGTCTTTGTCTCGGTGATATTATTCTGCAAGACAATGTCTTGCTTCTCCTTTCTTGAGGTGAAATATTCTCCCTGAATTACAGTGGTTTAAGAAACCTCTTTCTAGTTCTCAAAATAGATTTATATCCTGTTTTTAAGCGTGGATCCTCATTTTTCATACTTCTTCTGCAAATAAATGTTTTAGAAATGTAGTGTAGTAAACTCATGTCAGAAAAGAGATGTTTTTCTTTCCTGTAGCAAGTGTGGCAGCATTTTAGAAGGGACATTTCCACCTGGATTGAGCATTTGGAGCTCAGGACAGAGGCATCGGGCAGGACACGGCCAGGCCTGAGGTAACACTAAAACTGACTCTGCACAGTCTGCAGAGCTGCAGCTTTTCTTTCCCATATCCCTGCTCCCTAACCAAAGTATTTTTCATGGATTGTCTTCCAAGCTGTCACTAGAGAACTTTGTTAAAAATGTGAAACAAGCTCTATAAGTGTGTTTAAGTTGAATATAATAAAATTGGTTAAGTAATTGTGAAGGTTTTACCGTAATGAAAAACTGCAGTTATACGGAATAGTACAATAAAAACCTCAGAAGCAACAGCAATATAATATTCCATTGTATTAAATCACAAAAGCTAATATTGGAGTCATGGTTGTTCTGCAGTTAAATTCAGTGTAGGAACTAGGTTAGCAATACAGAACTTTCAGTTAAAATTATTATAAAGGGTTTCAAAATTGCTTTAATCAGCAGAAGAGACTTGGATTATATCGTGTATGTTGCCAGGAGGTGTGTGTAGTTCTACAAAGGGCATAGACAAGAGGAGCTCATGAAAATGTATGTTATTAGCCCACAAAATTATTTTGAAACAGAGACACTGTTTAAAAGTTTGCTCCTTTCTTAACAACTTCCCTTACTAACTGGGAAGTTAACAGCCAGCAGCTACTGGTAGGATTTCTAAAAAACAAGCAAACAAACAAAAAAGGACCTCAGTTCTGTGCCCTGCACATTGTTCACCCTCTCAGCTCCCTCACTTCATGTTGTTTTTTCAGCACTGTCCCTCCTTGGGCCCAGCATTTGTGTTCCCATTTCTCGAACTGGTATGTTTTCTTTTTCATCCTCAATCCTAAAGGTTCAGTGAGATAGAGAGTTCTCTGAATTTGCTCAGAAACTTGTGTTGGTGGTGTGGAAGCTCCAGTACCTTCTGTGTGAATTACTGCTCAGTGCTGCAGCCCAACACCTTGAATGGAGAAGTTGGCTAATTAGTGTCTCTATTCCTGGCACCTCAAGATTAGAACATTTCTAATGCTTAATTAAATGTTTTCTGTTAACTTCATTTCTATTAGAAGAGTTGCTTTCAAACTTCTCCCCTGCAAGTCTTTGTTGAGAAAAAAAATCTTTCCACGAATTTTTAAAAAGTAGATGAGGGACTGATGCCATCAATCCTAATCCAAGTTGAGGTTTTTATAAGTCTTTGTCTGCTATTGCCCTCTGTATCACCATGGTTTAATTGAACCCTGTTTGTAGAACTGAATTTCTGTATATGAAATGCCCTCTTTGAAAAATACAGCGTTGACTTTTAAATGTTCTTGGCCCTTCGGGATTTTCAGTTCTTTGGCACCTTCTTAATCTCATTATGAAAACAGGGTTGAACACAATAGTGTCTTATCACAGTATTTTTTCTCCTAGATACTTGCATTGATTATGTAGTGTGAGGAAATATTTGTGCTTCTCTCCAGTGCTGTGCATACTCATTCCCTTGTTTATGTCCTTTTTTTAAACCATTTTAGGCTCTTTCCTCACGCCAGAAGCCTAAAAGTTAAGCTCTTAAAAATGAAAGAAACTTGAGGAGGAGACATAACAGTCTGGAGACAACTTCACTGAGCTGTTGACAGTATCATATTTTTCAAAAATAAATATCCCACAGAGCACCAAAATGCCACTGTGTTGAGTTAAGGCCGAGTGTCTCCGTGGGGCCACACTCAGAGCCCATGGGCTGCACTGGGGTACAGCCCTGGGTAAAGCCTGCACTGCACAAAGCCAGGGCTGCCTCTGGAAAATCACAGCATTGGAGGGTCAGTTTTGCAGTTCAGGAGCTGCAAAACATCCTTCTGTAAAATGGCTGGTCTAACAAACTGGTGCCATTGGATTATCATCCTTGCAGAGAAGAAGTGTGTAAAAGGAAGGTTTTCTGCTGCCATTTCCCTCTTGGCCAGAGGTACAGCTCTTACACAGGCATTGGAACAGGGTGCTAAAACACTAACTTGACTTTATAAACCTCTGAAGTTCTGTCATTTTGCACCAACATTTCCAGCACACGCTATTCCCTCGCAGGGAGTGGTGGGGAGCAGGGTCAGTAGCTACTTTTTATCTCCAATTTCTGTTGTGACAAAGCTTGGTTATACACAATGTGTATTTTGTCAAGTTAAACAAAGGTTGCCCTCTCATTGCTCCTCAGACTAAAATGAGAACAGTGCAAGTGAAGAAGAATCAACTGACTTCTTCTCTGGGCTCTGCGACTCCAACAGTTCATTTATTGTGTAAAGGTAAGTTCTATATATTTTAGCTGTTGCTCTGCAGCTCCCACATGATGATTCATGCTACCAGTTTTTCTTCTATTAATAGTTTATAGAGAGTGCTTAAATTTAGATTGAATTCCATCTCCTAGTCTGTCATGCTGAATAGCAGTGAGAGAAATGTAGCCACAGTCTGTTTGGGCAGTGCCTTTTACGGACAGTGTTCAACTCCTGACATGAAATTACTGAAAATCCTTCCTTTGTTCCCGACTCAAGTGCAAATGGCAGGATTCAAACAGTGATGGAGGTATGGTTTGCATTTCCCTGTGAGGACAAATCTTACCTTGACTTTAGCTTCTTTTCCTTGAGCCTGGGTAAAAGCCAAACTCCTCCTGTGCTGGGATTGAACAGTTTGTGTGAAGGCTTCGGTCTCTGCCACAGGGGAGTGTCCTTCCTTATGATGTTGGCCATGGGCATTTCCAGCAAGACTTTGCAGGTGTAACTTTGTTAAAGGAGACACCCTTCGGAAAATCGAGCTTCTTTTCCCAATGTTGACTTTAAAAATGCTATCAAATATTCTATGTTGAACAATGTGAGAGAAATAATTGCGTATATATACACACACACATATGGATTTTTATATATATATATATGTCTTTAATGTTGAAGGATTTGCTGATGTTTCCAAAGGACTCAAGTAACCTTGCCCTCATCCCTTCCCTTAGGCTTACACAGTTTTGCATTGCTTTGATTCAGGCAGTATTTGTGGGAATGAGATCACATACAGGTCAGAACACACCACTTTAAGTGTCCTGTTTAACAACGTAGGACATATGTGCTAATGCAATGCTCAGTTTGATGCTTTTTTGCAAAATATGCACCCCTTAAATGCAATTTTGCACATACCAGATAATTCAGTCTGGTTAGAAAGAAAAGTTTCACGACAAAGAACAGCTCCAAAACTAATAATGTATTAATCACTTCCTTAAGACAGAAATAATTTTTCTATTTAAAAAAACACATTAATTCTTCCAGATTCTGTTCTAGGCAAACTGATCATTTTCAGCCCTTCACATGGAAGCCTCAGTACCTAGGTATGATTTTCTGCTCTTTCTGCTTACCAGGGTGGCAGGGTGATTTTGGTTACTGTTGTTATGAGTGTGTTCTGTGTTTGCAGTGGCATCACTGATGTGCCCAGGCTGTTGCTCGTGCAGAGTCAGCAAAGAGAAGGGTGAGTTTTTCGATAGGTCTTGAGCGTGAGTTTTTTGTTTACTTTGCTCTCACCTTTTTGAAGGAAACATTTCAAGGGTTATTCTAGACAGGCTTTCTAGAGTTTACTCCTTGAGCTCAGTTGTTAAGTGTGAGAAGTGCAAATAGACTCTTATCACTACTTTTCAGCTGCCCAAAATGCAGGAGTTTGGCTTGTTCAGTTAGATAGTGAACAGTGTGTTACTGCAGCTCTGCTTTTCAGGAATGAGAAAGCCCTTCCTGGCTCCACATGGGAGAATTTCTTTCCTTGCAGTGCTGGACTTCTTTCAGTTCACAGCCAGCTCTGAGTGTGTGGCAGTACCTTCCCATGGCTGTGGAGGCTGCTGGAAGCTGTTCAGGTTCCAGGTGGTTTCAGTCTTTCTGTTCATGCAGTCCCTTCTCAAAGTGTGCCTGGCCACAGCAGTCACAGTAATGCCAGTTTATTCTTCATGAGTGACTAAGAGAAGGGAAGTTAATGCTCTCTTGTGCTG